GCCCTACTGTGACAAAGTGTCATGAACTGGGTGGCCAAAAGATTATTTTGTTATCATTCTGGACCCTAGAAGTTGTCAGCATGGCTGGCTCCTGAGGCCTGTCTCTCACATGTGGTCAGGCTGTCTTTGCCGTGCGTCCATCTTTGCCTTGCCCCATCTGTTCCTGGCCTGCTCTTCCTCTGAAGGCCCCAGTCACATTGTGTTCAGGCCTGCTTTCAAGACTTCAGAAGAATCTAACTGCTTCTTTAAAATCCTGTCTTCCGTTCGGACTTGCTGGCCCTTCAGCTTATGAACATGGGAGAAGAAGAAACAAGAGCCGCTGTACAAAATTGTCCATGCCACTGTGAAGCTGTCTTAGCCTCAAAGTTTGGATTACCTTACCCTTGGTTACCTCACCTTAAATGGGGGAATCTGATGGCAGACCTCACGTGAATGATGTAGGAACTGCATGGGATTTTCACACAAAGATTGGGAGCTGGCAGCCACAATCAGCGCGGCCATTCCTGACACCTGTGCCTGGTCCCTCCTGCCAGACACAAGGTCCTACAGGGCCACTGTAAACCACATGGGGCAGACGTTTTAGTTGACTTCTTTTCACGTTGGATTGGGTGGAGCCTAAAATGAAGGGCCCTGGAGTACCAGCAAGACACAGTACCATGTGGAAAACTCCTTAAGGGAAAGAAATGTATCTCATTCACTCCTTTGAAGATCAGAGCTTCTCCTGTCATGCCGGCAACAGCATCCTCAGGCCAGCTACCTACCCAGCCCCACTAAATCCCATCCATCGGAATGCCTTCTTCCTGACAGCAGTCGTGGGTGATTGGACCAGAAATAGTCTATCAGGATTGCTTCTGCAGTAAATTCAGGAAAGAGACTTTCCCCAAATTCTGTAGGCTAGGTAAACGGGAAACTCTCAGGACAGTAGGAATCCCTCTACACTGATCCTGTTTTTAATTCCGGCTTATTACATTTAACTGACTGGGCGGCTTCTGGGCTGTGGATGATCTTACACAACGTAAAAATGCTCCAAGGACTTAATGGAAAAACCACTTAGTCCAATTGTTCCTCCTTTTTTTTTTTTCTTCTAACCCAATACATATATGCTTACAGACCAGACCACACTTAATGGAGGCTTTGGAAAGACACTTTGTTTTTAGAAAACTTGGGTTGATACGCAGCCACGGAATTAGCTTCATTTTCTGTGAGGCTGCCTTGTAATTATTAGAAGCTGGCACTGCACAGTTCCCTCAAATGATGCTGAGTTTTATGAAAATAATTTTCTTAATGTTTGCATGGCATGTTTTTTTTTAAAATATCACCAACAAAAAAACCCTGAAGATGGTTGAATGTATTTTATTTAATGCTCTTATTTTAATGGTGCTTTTGGCCCAAGGCCCTTCATTACTACCACTTATTTCTCCCTTTATACTCCGTCTCTGCTTCTCCTCCTATAACATGTTCTGAGCACAACTGCGTGCAGAACTCAGAGGTCTCGTGGAGCAAGAGCATCTGTGATTCTGCCAACCACGAACGTTGAGAACAGACACAACGGAAAGAGAAAGAGCCACATTTCCTCTGTGGGAAAGAATTCCTGAGACTTTAGTTAAGACGAAGAGTGGAAAGGCCGGAGAGACGCTTACTGCTGCCCTTCCAGAGGACTGAGTTCAGTTCCCAGCACCCACGCTGGGCATCTCACCAAGGGACCTCCAGCACCAAGGGGTTCCATGGTCTCTTCTGGCCTCCATGGTCCTGTACTCAAATGGTGTACACACACACACACACACACACACACACACACACACAGAGGAATGAGAAATAAACAGATCTTAAAAACAGAAGCGTGCTTTCTGGGGCCTTCCAACCTCTAAATAGAGTGATGTAGAACACTTCTCTTTCAGCATCACATGTAATTGTTACAGGACTGAAAAGACGAAAGCGTCCACATCACAGTCACTGTGGGACAAAGCAGACGTCTTGGTGGATGCCTCAGTCTGCTTCCTGCTGCTGTAACGAATATCTGAGGTAATCAGTTTACAAAGGACAACAGTTGGTTTTAGTCCACAGATGGGAGAGCTGAGCTCCTGTTTATCCTACACTCTCTGTTAATCCCCAGGCAGACCCATGGCAGGTGTGGCCCCGCTGGAATCCACTGTGGATTTCTCTCTGTGAACTGGGTGTCTCCAACTCCTGACAAAGCAACGGGAACAATGAGGGGAGGAGCCCCAGTCGTCCTTCAGGCCAACATGGCTGTGACTGGCTACAAACCAGAACTTCTACAGATGTGCCCTGTGCTTGAGATTTTAATAGCATTAAAAGGAAGCACTGAGATTTATTTAAACGTTTAAAATACTTTAAGTCAACATATAATGTGTTAGATACCATTATGACACTTTCAAAACAAAGTTCTCCTTCCTCCTCTTCTCCCCAGACCTGGTACCCTCCCCCCCCTTTTCACTCCCTTTCCCAGATTCATTTTCCTCATTACTGTGTGATGTGTCCTTTGGCCCAATCTACCCTTCCTCCTCCTCTAATATATTAAATTACAAATATTTTTAAATTATAATCTAATTTCAGGAATTTTTAGAATTTACCCACACTTGAACATTCTTAATTATTGAAAAAAAGCTGTAAGTGTAGACTTTAAATATCAAAGCAAAAATAAGAAAATATGCACAGCATGTATTCTTTTTTATTGAGAATAATTTTTTCATACAATGTATTCTGTTCACAGCTTCCCCTTCCTCATCTCCTCCCAGATCTTCCCCACTTCCCCAGCCATCCAACTCCACCTTTCTTTATCTCTCTTTAAAAAACAAATAGGCAAAAAAAAATAAATTAAAAAAGAATAAAACAAAACAAAAAAAGAAAAAGCAGAAAAGACTCACAAACTCACAGCAAGACAGCAACAACAGAAATAAAAAAAAAAAACCATAAAAACACAAAATTGGAAACCATATAAACAAAATACCAGTAAGATTAAAAAAAAAAAAAGATACAGAAAATTTCCGAAAACACCACTGAGTTTGTTTTGCTTTGGTGCATCCTATGCCTGTAAGCTCAGACTGATAACCCACAGGTCGGCGAATCTCTCCTGCAATGATCACCACACTCCAGCCCAATTAGTTTTTATCCACAGTTTAATCTGTATTCCAGTTTCTGCTCATCATCTCAAAAGAGAAAGTGAAAGTGAGTTAAAAATGATTCTTGAACAGTTTGTCAGAGATCCCACTGCTGGAGTCACCAGCCTGCAAAGTGCTCTAATGTGCCACTTGAGAGTGTGTCTTCGATGGTCAGTTAGTGCAGGGAAATCAGCTCACGGCAGAACTGCTGTCACTTCCTTTGCCATTGGCCTTGCAACTGAACATCTCAAAAGTCCTTGTCTGGCTGGTCATGATGGCTAAGGCCTGTAATCCCAGCATGTGGGAGTCTGAGGCCCATAGCAAGACCTGTCAAAAGAAGAAAAGGGGAAAGGAAGGAGGGGAGAAAAAGGGAGAGGAGGGGGAAGGGGAGGTGGGGAAGGGACCATGCCTTATGAGTCAGGAAGACCCCAGAGGCTGCCTCTGAACCAAGGCTTTTGTCATTGCTCTTGGTTACCAAGCACACATAACTAGATGATAAGACCTATGGATAACACGCTGCCTAGCTACACGCTAATGAGCACAGCATAGACAAATCAATCTCGACCTGACCAGGAAATGCCCTCTCTGCTGGCTAGCACTCACAGTGCTAGAAGGTGCTATGTGGGGTGCTGGTGGGAGCATGGGGGGTTGAGGGAGACATCAGTGGCCGTATACACCACTGGACCTTCATGCTACAATAATGACCTGTCAGGCAAGCTGTGCCTGTTAGTACAATAGTGGCATGACTATTATGGGGTAGCCAAACTACTCTGTGATTGGACTTGAGGCCAACTCCAAAAGTCTCAAATTCTATGTCTGGTACTGTAAGTCTGGTCAAACACCCATGGCTGGGAGGCCACAGCCTAAAGGGAGCTATTCTTACTCATTTACTAGATGGTTACATCGTTGAACTTTCTGAATATTGTGTTTATATCTGTAGATTTATGCTGCCCTCAGTCTTGGTCAGAGAGCCCTTTATTCACAGTGGGCAATGGTTAAGGCAGAGAATCATACTGGCCAAACCACTGAGAATAAGTGGCTGTGAGTTCTCATCTCCAAATGGGACATCTTTATCAATATCCCTCTTTGCCAAGGCTCATTGAAGAAGAGGTCAAAGAAGGGGGTGAGGACCAGAAGACAGGCAGGAGAGCTTTAAAATGCTCTGGACATCACATGGGGCTGTGCACGTAAATTCATAACAACTGTGGTTCCTTGGACAAGATCAAGTGAGCCAAATTCAGCATGGACTGGGGAGGGACTTAGGAGGCCCCGCTCCTAGAGGAGGGGCTACCAGCATTTGATGGCTGCTGGGAAGGGGAGGGGTTTGGGGGGGTGTATGGTCATTGTAGTTTGCCCATGCTTCGGTGAATATCTATATATCAACACTCATGCAGGCAGTACTAATTGAACTTACTGAGTGGGTTATAAACTGGGAGATGTGTTATGGGCAGTGGAGTTGGAGGGGACACTGGGGATTGGATATGATAGAAATTCAGTATATACATGCATGAGTTTTTCAAAGAATAAGTAAGTGCAAAAGAGGAGGAAGGGGAACAGGTTAGATATTTTATTTCACTGTGCACTTGTATAAAATTATCAAAGAATGAAAAAGTTAAAAGAGAGAAAGAATAAAAGAGAGAAAGGAAGAAAAGAAGGGGTTGGGGGAAGGGAGAAGAATAATGAGAGAGGGAGAGAAGCAGAAGGGAACTATATTCCTGATGGAGACGTGGTTGTGAAACCAGCGCCGAGGGCAAAGGACACAGGTCTGCAAAGGGAGAATGAGGAGCCTAGATGCCACCACCGGTTACGGAGGGACCAGTGACCAGTGGTGACACTGTCACTGCAGTGCTGCCTCTGGTCAAAGATGCAGCAGGACCCAAACATCCTCTGTGTCCTCAATTCTGCCGCAGTTGCCATGGTAACACCACCCTGCACTCAGCCTGTGGAAGACAGTAAAATGCAGACATTTTACTGTTTTCACGTCTCGGGAGAGAAGGAAGGCTGTTGCTCCATGCCAGCCACAGGTAGGAGTTGCTTAGAGATGTCTGTGCCTTAGGAAAGGTGATTCCTGCCAGTGGGGGGAAAAAAAAAAAAAAAAAAAAAAAAACGTTAACCTGGTGTAGATTCAATTTTCTGTTCAGTTTAAGGGACAATTTTTCTGTCTCTGTTAGGAAGAGAGATAGCTTTGAAAGTGTTGGCTGCCAACTCCTGTATCTCGAGAAGGTGGTTGGTGCCTTGGGCACCTGGGTATCGGGGAAATATATGCAGCTGTGTTAGTGTGTGAGCTGGTGGCTCTGATTCCTTCCCATGTTAGATCTTCCATGCAGGCTTGAGCTGCCGTGAGGTGGCAGCACCCGGCAGTCACCTCAGCCCGGCGCTGACTGTATGACCTTTGGAAGGTCACTCACTTATTTTTGCATCCATTTGCACATTTATTAAGTGGAAATGTTGATGAGTACATTGTTTTGAGAAAGATTGAGCCAGGCGCTCTAACATATATCTCCCACAGCCCCTGGCGTATCATGGGTATTTAATAAATAATTTAACCATTTCCTCTCCTAGTTTCCCTAGAGTGGACTCCAGAGCTCAGCCAGCCTTTTCTCCCTTTAGTAGCTGATACCATCCACTCAGGGCCTTGAGAATATGCCACCAACAAATGGGCCAAGGACTCTCGGTGAATTCTCTAATAACGGTGGTTGGAACAGAGATTTGCGAGGTAACAGATGATGAATCGAAAGCAGAATTACAAAGCTGCCCCTTGGCCTTGACCTGCTTGCAAAGCTGAAAAGAGAAAGCCCTGCTTTCGCTCAGCCAGCAGGCTCAGCACATCCTCCACCTTCCTGCTTTAGTGGCCAACAAATTCCCAACCAGGCCCCCACTGAGGAGACAGACAGTGCGGAAGCAGACACTGTTGCTCCCCAGTAGGCCACACTGTCTGGCCTCCGTTACTTCCTGGGGTTCTATTTGTGGCAGACTGGCTTTGGCACTCCTTGGCTTGCTCTCCTCAGCTCTACCCTTGTTACAGCTGTGTCTCTGCCCTTTCACTCTGAACTCAAACGTGTGCCTGTCGTGGTGGTGGCACAGTAGCACTGAACCTAGGCTTTAAGCGGCCCTCCGTTTCCATTTGCCCTCTTATGTCTTTCTTGTCACCATGAGAACATGCCCTAGGCAGCAGCGTGCTGGTCCCCAAAGGAAGACAGGACAGTGGTACAGAGATGTCTGAGCCCTAGCAGCCCAGACCTATGGGGAGAAGTGAAGGCAGGCAGCTGTTCCTTGCTTGAGTGAGCAGAGCTGACCATCTCACAATCCTGAGAGCCAGCCCAGGGGCTGAGCCTCCCAGTCAAGGCTAGGTTGGCTCTGACCTGACCAGCCATTGGGTGAAAGACTGAGAGACAAAAAAAGACTGTAGTTATGTATGTCATTGATTTTGTCATGCAGGAATAATTAGCCAATACACTGCTTCCCACAGGGATAACCGCATTGGATCATTTCCTCTCAGACAGGAAGCACTTGAAATAACAAGCCAAGGTAAGCCCCCACAGTAGCTTTGCCCTGTCACAATGTCCGCGCTCTGGGCTTCTCCTGGAGGAGTTTCCCCAGTAATGAAAACAGGGAGTTCTTATGCTTTCGTGGTATCATGACTTGTGTGTTCTAGCAAGAGCTATTGTAAGTGCTGTTTTGTGTATTATTATGTTTAGAAATTGTGGGATTGTGGGAGTTGGGTGCTATTGTAGCACCCACACTGTAGGCATTACAAGAATGATCTTTTCATGATGGAAATTTTTGATGTTCCCTTAAGGCTGAAACTGATTTTAGTTTTTTGTTTTTCAAAAAAGCAATGTAATTTGCATGTTGAAATAAGGATGCCGCACTCTCAATTCACAGGATGACATTATGTCTCCTCCTGACTAACTGACCCTACATGGCCCTCCTTGCCTTAGAAATAGTCCACAGCAGGTGCCAGAGCTCAGTCACTTGTGGTTGGGCAACAAAATAAAAGCCCCTCAACACGTCTTGTTCTACCATTAGATGCCCAGTTCGGTGTGGCAAACATTAACTTTTTTTGGAAAGCAAGGTTCTGAGTCTCGGCTTCAGGTGGAACTCTCCTCAGATGGTCACTTGGGGCCCTCTACCCCCTGGGCTGCCCTGGCTCCTTCTGAGCATGGAAGATGAAGGAGAAGGAGGTACAGCGTAAACTGTTCTTACTTCGCCAACATTGACTTTCTGGAGTTTTCTGGCTGGGAAACTGTCCTTCCCTGGGTGTTTGCGTCTGTGGAACTCACCCACAGTCCCCAGAAGGATCCCACCTGCCCTCACTGCCTGCATCTCACACTTTGAACTCCTGATGTTCATCTGTAGTTTCCACACTCCTCACCCTCCTGAACCAGCCTGAAGTTCCCTGGACATCTCTGGCAGGGGTCACACACCATGCCCCCAGATCCAAGGTCTTCTATACTAAGGTCTCCACTGTCTTCTAGTGAGCTGAAGGCTCATTCAGAAAGAGAGAAACACCCTATTCATCCCATCCCATGAAGGGCGTAGTGCATGGCTGCTCTCAAATAAATGTTTGACCCACACTTTAGCCTTTTTGAAGCTTTTTCAACATCTTGTAAACAGGATAGTGGCAAACTGGGGTCTCAGTCTGTCCTTCAATATCAGCATTTGAGGCTAGAAAAACAAATCACTTTGGAATATGAGACCTGAATCTTGTTGTTATGGGGCCTCGGCCAATTCTAACACAGTATCCCCTGTTACAATATTCCGTAAACATTCAGTCATAAAGACGCCTTTCTCTATTCTCCCAAGAAGCGAGCAGGAAGAAGAATCTGTGAAGATCATTGTCTTGTATTTCCCTCAAGTTCTTATGAGGAAATCATCAACCTTGTGTGGTACTCCCAGCACAGCCTCTCAGTTTCCCTCCTTCACAGCTGTGTGAGCTCCATGTTGCCAGGCCTACATATGATGGACAGTGGTGCCTCCTGAACAGAGGAAGGCCCAGTGCAAGGCATAAAACTAAGCAGGAAGACGGCAAGATGAGGAAGCCGGACAGATCTGTGGCCGTGGCTGATGTCAAACAGAGCACAACTTTCAGCAAAACCCCTCTCTAACTGACCAGGTCCTCAGCCGTTGCTCTGCTAATTTAAATTCAGAGAAAACAAGCATCCAGACCTCACTAGGTTCCTGGGGATGTAAGAAAAGTTCAGAAAGTCGGAAAGAGATACTGGACAACCATCCCAGATGGCAGGAGCTCCTAGGCAGTCTCTCCCAGCCACACACATGGAAAGCATTTCTCTCCTGGGAAGACTGTTGAAATCAAGCTTTCCAGTGATTCATTAACAGCTGAAAGCATGTGGTCCTTTCTTGGGCAGTTCTGGACTGTTTAGTCTTTTCCTTCCCTTTTTGTTTTCTCTGGGAAATACAGATGACCACCATGAAAACGGCATGCCCTAAAGACCATGAGTGGCATGGCTGTGGCCTCTCCCTGCTCCTGGTTCCATACTGATGGACATGCAGAGATAGATGAAAAAGGAACCATGGAAAGCAAGGACCCCAGCAACCCAGGAGTTTTGGTACTATTTCTTCTCAGATAAAGAAACATTACTAGGAAAAGGGTACGTGAATTCTGTTTCAGACTCAAAGGCTTCGGGAAGAAATGAAGTGAGGAGGAAAGAAGGGGCCTGGGCAAAGAAATAAGCTGCAAAATCAATGTTGCCTTAAATAGATACGCCAAAATTTACCTTCACCGCTCTCTTGGGGGTGTTTATAATTATCACGTATTAGAAACAAGCACTGTGACCATCTATATTTTTAAGTAGTTCAATAAATTGTAATCATCTAGGCAATGACATCATACATGGCTATGTCCATTTACACTTAACACCCAGGTTTCTGCAGAATATGCTGATCACAATTAGATTATTTACATGTGGATATTTTGATATATGTGTAAAAATGACTAGAACCTTATATACCAAAGGGTTACTATTATTTATATTTGAAAGATAAAATTTAATCTTAAAAATTGTCTCTTTTGAAATATTTTTTACACTCTCCCAATAAGAATTGTTTGTACCCTTGCCAGATCACCACAGTCATAATGAAAATCACAGATTTCAGAAGAGAAAGAAAAGCTTCTGACTCTCTCCTGAGAGGCTGTGACGACACATCAGGCAAAGGACATGTTTCTGAAGACTTTTGACCCAGAAGAGATAGATGGTATTGACAAAGGCTGTCAAGGCAGCTAGATAAGGTACACCAGCTAGACCTTCTTCTCTGGAGCAGGGAAGGGCCAGTGTCCCTGCTGTGCTGCTAGCATGGGCTTAAGGCAGATGGCCAGGGTGAGGGAGTCACTCCACCTGTTGAAACTCCCATGTCCATCACTGCTGTAGGCACACACTACAGTAGCTGCCATTTGGGGATGCTGTGTATGCTTTCTTGAGAGATTCTGGGACACACAAAGGAGAACGTAGGAGAGAGGAGAGGTGAGCCAATCCAGTCTGACACTAACTTGTCTGTAATTCAGCTTCAAGCCAGCGAGTGTTTATTCAGCACCTAGAATGCATCAGGCATGGAATTCAGTAACACACACTGTGATATGGTATTGTCCTGCCCTGAACAAACCTAAAGGCAAACCAGGCTGTTAGGGTCACTGACACGTGGGGTAAAATAACGTAGTACAGTTTGTACCAAAGATTCATAAAAAAAACACCGTGGAAGCCAAGTGCCAAGAAAAGCTGTGTCCTCTATCAGTGTGGGAGTGGTTGAGCGTTAGGTACCAAAGCCACATGTACATCGCTTGCTGCAGACAGACTGGTGCCTATGCTGCAGTCTGTTGCTGATGCAACCCTGAGCTCCTGGCTGGAACCGTCTACAAGGCAACACAGTGCTTCACTTGTGTTAAGGGATGAGCATGAGCTGAGAAAAAGCCTCAGCAAGGCTGGCTGGGTCAGGCCGGCAGGGCCTGTCAGTTCCCTATGACACTGCCTCTGCTGACGTTTCAGTCCACTACTGATTAGCGTCCAGACACTGTGAAGTTAAGTGTTAGCTTGTCGACTTTTGTCTGGCAGAAATGCAAACAACTTCTGTCCTGTTAAATAGATGCCTCCGGAAGGTTGTGGCAGTTTGGCCTTGTAGGCTCATAACCAGATTTGTCTCTAAGGCACACTCTCAGGTGTCCACACAGAGACACTTCCAGGTACCATTCTGCACTGTGTGAACCCCAGTTCCCCAAATGGTTTGTGATGTTTTTGACATCTTCCTGATTTCCTTAGTGATGAGTTAACCAATTCCAACCCATGCTCCTTCTACATTGGAATGAGCGCAGCTTTTTAATTTCTGCAGGTTATCCTTGGATAGTGTAGAAATAAAGAAGATTTTCCTCTTTGTCATCGGTCTAGGAGTTTATGTCAGAGGCTGTGTTCTTCCCAGTGTTTACAAATTGATGCATTTTATTAAATCATCTTAGTTGTCCAACTCTCTCTGACTGCCTGTCTCTCTCTCTCTCTCTCTCTCTCTCTCTCTCTCTCTCTCTCAATGTTGCCGTGTTGTACCTCAATCTCAGTACTGCTATGTTGGAGGTTAGGTGTCCAACACACAAACTTTGAAGATACAGCCTTCTGTCACAGGATCTCAGAAGCCATGATCTCCCCACGTGCAAAATACAGTCACACCTTTCAACACCCCCAAAGCCTTAGCTTCCTTGCAGTACCAGTTCCAAAGTTCAACAAGAGCAGTCTCCTCCAGGTCAGGTTTGGCTGAGATTCTAAGCAGGGGGCACCAGCCATCATGAGCCTCTCTAGCTACAAGACTAGGAAATTGAACAGTTTAGCAACCATTCAACATACCGAAGTGGGCTGGCAACATCAGCATTCCCACTCCGAGGTGGAGAAACTCTCCCAGACTGCCATGGCACACATGGCTTTAAAGTTCAAAGGTGGAGTCAGAGGGCGTGTTCAGTGGTGACCTCGAGCCTGTAGCTCTGCTATAAATTGTCTTAGAGGAAACTTACTGGAATGTTTCTACCTGACCTCAGGCTATACAGTAAATCCTCAGAGGTCGCCGTGGCCTCACAAACTGCACTTTGCATGCCTGTAGAATTAGCTAGCGCCACATGGACATTGCTGAAGTGTATAGCTGGAATCTTCTAGAACAATGGCCAGGGCAATGGTCACAGCCTTCTAGCCTAGGCCCTCTGGAGTCATGGTAAATTTGCCAAGAAGTACTGCTCTGGAATGAATGGAGCAGAGTCCTAAGGCGACCTTTGACTGTGAGCCTACAGACAACATATTGAAGCATCTGAAATCACCCTGCCCTTCTGGAGTTCTGTGTCTAGGACAAGGAGAGCCTCAGAAAGCTCCACAGGCCTTCAGGGACTTTCTCCCATGGCCAGCAACCTAGATTCTCCTACCCATTCTAGCCCCTTTCTGGAAGGTCACTGCACCCCCGCCTCCTGGCTGACCAAGCGGCTTGGTCTCTTTAATGCCATCTCATTCTTAGCTAAGCTGCAAAGTTTTCAGATCTTTCTGCTTTACTTCTTTTAAAACTATAGAGTCTGTTCTAAAACCGCTTCTCCCTGTCTGTAACCATATGTGGTTAAAAGTATCGAAGAAACTTCTTCAACATCTTTTGCTTCTTCAGTGCTCTCCTCTGGGGTGTCTTAATTCATCACTCTTGAGCTCTGCCTTGCACGGAACCCTCAGGCGTAGGCACAATTCAGCTAAATTGTTTGCTAAGCAGTAGCAAATATAGCACCTATTCTAAAGTCCAATACCTTTTCCTTCAACTTCATCTGAGACATCATGGAGGAATCACTTTCATTGTCTATATTTCTACTAGCACTGGTCATGGTTATTCAGGTGATCCTGTCAAAGCTTCAGTTTTTACTTGTAGCTAGTCTCCTTTGGCCTCTCATCACAGCAGCTTCCATATGCTGTTCATGACGGCGCAGGTTTTCTTGGAGTTCATGGTTCTTATCCTCTACTGGGGCAGGGATGAATAAACGGTGTCCTTCCTGGAAGTCAACTGAAGCACCATGAGGAGGGGCAGGGTGAGATCAAAGGACGGAGAAGGGAAGAGCTGAGCTGGCATCAAGGAAGCGCTACTCAGGAGCTGACCTGGGATATTCAGGGCATTCCAGCAAGGCTGGGAGAGAAGGTGAAGGAGAAGCAGGGCAAAGCACCAGAGAGAAGAGGAGTGAAAGACGGAAAGAAAGCACCTGCAGCTGTGGGCCAGGGAGCCAGGAGTGATATGGAAGGGGCTAAGTCTGACCAAGTGTGAGCTTCACATCCCAGTAAGTGCAAATCAAAATGCTGCATAGAAATAGTCATTTCTGCAGCAGGAAGGAGCACTCCAAAGTGCTTTCTAAGGCCACGCTACCCTCCCCCCCCCCCACGGTCTCCCCAGGAGGGCTCATTCCAGATGGCCAAACACATCTTCAGTCTTTGTATGGAGACTGCCATCGACATAATAGAATCAGAAAGACATGAAGTGGGCTGGACAGTGGAGTTACAATCCACCACTGGGCTCTTTCTCGACTTCTCAGGTTTGGCGACACTCAACCAGCATCCGTAACGTCAGGTCCAACCACACCATTGACCTCCAGGCACAAGGCACACATGTGACACACATACATACATGCAAATTAAACACTCAAGTTTGGTGACGTGTAAGAGTTGTAAGACACATCCTCTTTCTGGTGAGAAAACTAGATGTTCTCCAACGCTATACAAGACATTGAGGGAAACTGAATGAGCAGGCAGGGCTTAAAAATAAAAGCCTACCTCACACTGTGGGTTAAGAAAAGAGAAAAGAGAGAGATAACAAAGTTGGATAAGATGGGTAGGCAAGAAAGGAAGGGGTATTTAGAAGGAATTGGAGAAGGGAATGTGATCAAAGTCCATTGTACCAAATTCTCAAATAAAAACATTTTAAGTGAAAAACTAAAAGAATGGTAAGAAATAGAAACTCCTATCTTGAGACTAACCTTAAGGTGAATGCAGATGGTGGCTGGTGTATGTGCAGTCGTATACCCGGACTCTTCCTTATCACCTTCTTCACACTCTATCTGCTGCTATCATTTGAAACTGGAATCTGTGTTACGTAGTGTGATGAGGCCATGCTCCTTGAGAGTTCATTGTTCAAAGGCATCATTCAGAAAGGAGGAAGTCAGCACTGTCCTGCGTGACCCCTGCTTGAGTTGGTGGGTAGGCAGTTGAAAGATGTCAAGGATACAGTCCCTCCTTGTGGAACTGTGCCCACTAACATCAAAGGGACAAACCAATTACAGCCCACCTGCGTTGGACCCTACAGTTTACAGTCTTCAAAACTGGCTTTTAATTCTCTCAAGCTAGCACCATGGGCTGGTCAAACTAACCTTGGCTACCATGAACTCTCAGAGAATTCATTTGGATGTCTGGCAGAGAAATTGGGCTAACAGGTTCATATTACTCTGTAATTGAAAACTTTTAATCACTCTGTTCCCTAAGGACTCAATGATACTTAATTAAAAATTACACAAACTAAGCTTCATTTCCTGTGACATTCTTGCTGTGAGGGTGAATATTTCTCTTAGTTTTCCAGATGGAAGAGACAGGAAAGTCACTTTCTTTGGCTCACACTGTTAAAAAGAACTGTAGGGCTGTACTATTACCTCATCTGAAAGGTGTAAGTGTATCATTCTCACTTTAAACAAATACAGATCAAAGCTCTCCTTTGTGTTTCCAGGCAGAAAAATATCCCATGACTCTCTTCCATAAAGCGCAGTGAGTAAACGGTACTGGAGCGCATTCTCAGTGTGCTACAATCAGCTGTTACAACTCCTACCTGCACAGGCCAGTACT